GAGTCAGGATTAGAGTCAGGATTAGTTCAACCAGGGGCCTATACTACGAAGCAGGATTTTCGCTTAGCGAGCTAACTTCCTGGATTTCCGGTCCTACGACGCTGGTTCACTTTTTAGCGGGGTAGATCACTTATTCTGAACGGCTAGCCTCCGGAGCAGGATAGGTTCCAGGATAAAAGCACCGCCTGCTGACCAATCAGAGCTCAGTGTGCGGAGTTTAAAGCGATCAAGTCATATTACAGGATAGAGGAAATACAGAAAAACTGCCGTTGCAGGAAAGACGGCCGGCAAAAATCACCTGACTGTGTGAACGTGAACATTAATAGAATATCCCCTCCCATCTTCAGAGCAATCTGACTATTATAACATTAGCGTTAAGAAAGCTTACTTAAATATCTGCCACGACATAAGTAACCGGATCAGAGTAACATTACGTACAGTCCGCGGCACTGTGAGTGCAGACGTAGATGTGTCCCATTATCATTCATATCATATCACATCATAATGTATCATATATCTCCTTATCTGAGTCAGCTGAGCCGTATCTGGCCGTGCAACACTCACAGTGTCACATACTGGATGCAGAAGTATTATTTTAAGCAACACATTAAGTTGACGAAACACTCGAGTCAAATGTAATTAAAGTCAGATCGTGTCTTAGACGGGGCAGTGATATCATAAACCTGTTAATGTACGCATTCAAACACTTTTTCTGTTACCAGCTGTATTCACCTTGCAGGTGCAGCTATGTGGCTTTGATCCTGGATAAAGTGTTTAAGTCATGGATGTTTAAAGTTTAACTTCTTCATATTTGACTAATATTAAAGTTCACTTTTCATTCAGGAAGTATGACGCTGCGCTGTCAGTACGCTTGTCCATGTTTGTGATTGGTCGAATGCTCCAAATACCACCCCTTTCATGTGAACGCCACCTAACTAGATAGGACACGGCTGGCTTGAGCGATCCACTTGATAACCAGCGTCGTAGTACCGCTTAGCGAGAGCGTTTTTTTTTTTTATTTAGTCAACCGGATAACTCAAAAACATATCCAGGATATGTTGAACTAGATTCGTAGTATAGGCCCCAGGTTTATTGTGTCTCTCTTCAGGCTGCTGAAGGACAACCTGCAGGACAGTCAGTTCGCTGCTCGCTATCAGCTGCTTCTCGCCGCCCTGCTGTGCTGCGTTGGTCTCGGTCTCCGGGAAGAGTTCGACCGTCAGTGCTGGCTCGTGTCTGTCCTCGCTCAGGTGGCTCACAAAGTCCGGGACGCGTCTCCATCCAGCCGACAGGTGAGCAGTTCACGACATAGAAAACACATCATAGAAAACATCAGCAGGCACATACAAAACAATGAGAAGGGGAGGTTTCAACATCTACTGAAGCGACCAAAATCATAACAAATATAAAACAGAAATAGAACTCAAAACAGTGAATATTACGCATGTGTTTAATAAAGGTCCGGGCAAAAAGTCATTTTGTGCATTTTCTTTTCTTGATGCCAGATCATACAAGTACAATATTTTCTTGTCTGTTCTTACCCGATGGTAAAAAAACAAAAACCTCCCGGGTCCCTCTCCACCACCTGTTTCCCCTTCTCAAAAACAAAAGCATAAAAAACATTTCCAGATCTTTATATCAGCTCCTAATATTACTATTAAAAATAATGTGTTGCAGTGTGTGCTGAGGGTTATGATAATAATATAACCAGGAGCTGTTATGTCTCTGGTGGATGCTGCTCTCTGCTGGACTGGAAATGAATTGTTTCTTCATTTAATTATCCAAAATAAATGTAGCTAAAGCCCAAAAACGACAGAAAACTTGACGACGTGTGTCTGTGTGACATTTATTTTGTCATCCTGTTATTAATGATCATAATGTGTGTTTCAGTGTGTGCTGAAGGAGGGTCTGGAGGAGATGAAGCAGTTCTTCTCGGTGAACAGCAGCTGCAGACTTCCTCTCAACCCAGCACTGCTCGTCAAGGGAATCAACATCCAGGTACACACACACACACACACACACACACACACACACACACACACACACACACACACACACACACACACACACACACTCACACTTTCTTCTTCTGTGTTTTGTAGTCGTGTTCGTTCTTCAACTCCAACGCTGTTCCTCTCAAACTGTCCTTCCAAAACCTCGACCCGCTGGGAGACAACATCAACGTCATCTTCAAGGTCACACTCACCTCATTTACCTGAAATTATACCTGATTCACCTGGGTTTGGACCTGTTTTATTCTGGTGTTTTACCTGATAATATACCTGTTATTATACCGGTTTTACCTGATATTTGACCTCTTTTTATCCATTATTGTATCTGTTATTTACCCAATATGTTACCTGATATTTTTACATATCTGTTTACCTGATTTACATGATATTCAACCTCATTTCCTTAACCTGTTAAGCCCCAAAGCCCCCGTCGGCGGGTCTTTTTTTTTTTCACAATTTTTTTTTAGTTTTTTTAAAAAATGTATTACATTTTTTTCTTTTAATTGTTTTTCTTTGGATGGAATGAATACCTATGGTGATGATTCAATGTAATACATCATTTTTATAGTCTGGTACCTGAAAAAGATCAAATGGCACTGATGGAACCAGATGTACCCAAATGTGGCGAAAGCTTATTCCGCCTGGAACTTGTTTTCCCTAAACCTCTCTAAAAAGGTCAAATTTAACTTGTTTTGCATCAATCTTGATACAGGGTACTTATTATATGTTATAGTTTGGATTCCTAAAGCTTGTAGTCTACCATCCCATCATTCAAGGGTGGTTTTTACTATAAGTAATGTTTTTTCTTTAGGCGGAGGTAAGAATTTAACTTTTTTTACTATGTTCCATCTGAATTTACTCTGACTGAGAAACATTCTATATTGATTCTGACACTTCTACATCCAACTCACAGATGTAACCTTGCTTTGATAAAAGAAATTATTCATATAACCCTTTTAGAAGTGAAGTTGTAGTCATTTGTTTTGGGCATGTCATTTTCGACATTAACAGGTGAACCTCTCTTACATATCTGTTTACCAGATCTTTGTACATCTCTGCAGCTCAGAGATAGCTAACCCTCTAAACCTCGAACACTTTCTGTGCATTCCTTACTACCGTCACATTTAACTTGAAGGCATTGTTTTTCTAAATAAAAGTCCTGCACCTCTCCAGAAACAGCCCCGTCATGTCTGTAAGTAATGAGAACTGAGAAATGTTGAAAACGTAATAAATGGATCTGTATATCCCTGCAGTCGGGGGACGACCTGCGGCAGGACATGCTGACGCTGCAGGTGATCCGCATCATGAACAAGATCTGGATCCAGGAGGGTCTGGACATGAGGATGGTCATCTTCAAGTGCTTCTCCACCGGCAGAGGAAGAGGTCAGGATGTATTTCACTCTGTCACATGATCTGAGGAATGCTGACCTCCTCAAAAATATCTGCTTTGGAATCAGATGCTCGGAAAATCTAGTAAATGTACCTCTTAAATCTCAAAGAGCAAACCAACTGTGTGTGTGTGTGTGTGTGTGTGTGTGTGTGTGTGTGTGTGTGTGTGTGTGTGTGTGTGTGTGTGTGTGTGTGTGTGTGTGGTGTGTGTGTGTGTGTGTGTGTGTGTGTGTGTGTGTGTGTGTGTGTGTGTGTGTGTGTGTGTGTGTGTGTGTGTGTGTGTGTGTGTGTGTGTGTGTGTGTGTGTGTGTGTGTGTGTGTGTGTGTGTGTGTGTACCTGTGGGTGTGTACCTGTGGGTGTGTACCTGTGGGTGTGTGTGTGTGTGTGTTCAGGGATGGTGGAGATGATTCCTCAGGCCGACACTCTGAGGAAGATCCAGGTGGAGCACGGCGTCACCGGATCCTTCAAAGACCGACCGCTGGCCGACTGGCTGCAGAAACACAACCCCACTGACGAGCAGTACGACAAGGTGCACACACACACACACACACACACACACACACACACACACACACACACACACACACACACACACACACACACTAGGGATGCGCATCTTGATACGTTGCCAAAGAAAAAAGAAAAGACACATCATCAATCAAAAATCTTTTTTTTTTTCATTTTTTGCTAGGGCCCCCTAAGCAGCCGCTTAGGGGGCCCTTAGTGGCTGCGGGGCCCTTAGTGGCTGCGGGGCCCTAAGCGGCCGCTTATGTTTGAACCTGGCTTTATCCAAAGTTCAGATTTCAGTTCCTGAAATGTGTTAAAATATGCGCATATTTAATGAGATAATGGCTCATTTGCATATTTAAACATGCTATTTCAGAAAACGTGTAATACAAAAAACAATTGCCTTATTGTAAGTAATTAACTGGAGACATTTCTAGCTGATATCGTTAAGTTAAGAAAATGACCTGGGGTGTCTCGCCTTAAAGGTAGTGTAGGTAAGTTTGAGAAACCAGCTCGAGATCGCTCAAATTTGAAAATACACAACCGGAGAAAATCTTCCACTTCCTCACAGAGCCCCTCCTCCAACACACACGAACGCGCACATGACCAATGAGGGCACGAGATAAGTTTGTGCACAGATGGAAGGCTGACAGGCAGGTAGGCCATCCAGTTATTTTAGCCGGGCCGGCTCAGATGATTGGTCGTGCTTTTTACAGTACTACAGCTTCCACAGATGATATTTATTTATGGATTTGTTGTCAAAGCACTTCAGATATTCATTGATATCGGGATGTTAAGAGCATTCCATGGAATATAACAACAAGTGTATCTCGAGCCGGTTTCTCAAACTTACCTACCACACCTTTAATGTATTATATGATTGACTCAATAATATAATACATGACTTTGAGAGTAGGCAATCTAGGCATATTAACAAAATTAATTAAACATACTTATCACGGCGACGGTGTACTGAGATAAGGGGGCCCTTAGTGGCTGCGGGGCCCTAAGCGGCCGCTTATGTCGATGAATGGGTCGGGCCGGCTCTGCTTGGACCTTTCACAAACAGGCCTCTTCACAAGTGTAGTAGTGTTCTCTGTCTCCAGAGTACAGTTCAATGTTATAACACCTCACAGTTAAACAATTTAAGGATGCCCAGGATTAACAATGTGCAAATAACAACTACCATAGTGCAATGCACATACAACTGCTGCCTGAAGTGCTTCACACTCATTCATAGGCTAACTCACCAGTGAGCAGAAAGCAGTGGTTTCTATAGGAACAATAAAGAAAATAACCTTTCACAAACAGGTATTTCATAACTGCTTACAGTAAGGAAGACGTTTAAACTATGATTGGCAGTCAGAGGCTGTTGTAAACTAAACACCACTCTCTCTGACAGAACACCTCACTGAGTGATTGAACTCATATGTCTAACTTTCAGGTTTCTCTTTTCATCCGCAGACCCAGGCCTCTTTATGTGCGTCGCTAAGTTCCTCGTACTACTTGTGTACTTTATAGCGGCACGGCATCGTTTACAATTTGAGCGATTTTTCAAGTTGTCCGTCTTTCTTGAAAAAGTGTTTCCAAACGTTTGATTCGTAGGTATTTTTCGGTGCGCTGTGTTTCTCTTTCTCCTCGACTTCCATGTGTGTTGATAACTGAGACTCTCGGCCTCCGTAGTGCGAAGCAAAGATCAAAGATCGTCTCTGCTGAGTGCTGACAAGATGAGGGGTTATTATATGAATGAATCGTTTTTTTACCGATGCAAAGACGCTACAATCGATGCATCGCGAGTTCAACCCAAACTGTAGCCGATGTGCACTCTTTCAACCGGTGCACTCTTTCAACCGGTGCACTCTTTCAACCGGTGCACTCTTTCAACCGGTGCACTCTTTCAACCGGTGCACTCTTTCAACCGGTGCACTCTTTCAACCGGTGCACTCGCATCTTGAACGTTTATGCCGGTGCACTGATGCGAATCGGTGAATCTTAACATCCCTAACACACACACACACACACACACACACACACACACACACACACACACACACACACACACACACACACACACACACACACACACACACACACACACACACACACACACACACACACACTGAAGCTCAATTAATCTGGTTCACTCCCAAAAAGAGCTGACTCTGCTGTGATTTAAAGGTCTCCTATCATGCTATTTTTAGGCATATATTATAGCGCTCAGATATATACAAATTTATAAAAAACATGTCTATGAAGTGTTTTTCTCAAAATACCAAACAGGTCACACAATTCAGTGACCAACACAGAAATAACATCACAGCCAATCAGAATCTATTCTATTTTATTACATGGCTTAGTTGAATACTCGATTCTGATTGGTCAATTCAGAACACGTGACACGTTGTTAATCCAGAACAGACAGACCGCTGTCAAGGATTTATGACCGTTGTTAAGGACGCTCAAATCTGCAGAAAGAAGTCCGGTCGATTGAACTGTATACAGTTTGGCTGAAAAGCAAACTGCATGCAGTTTGCTTTTCTAACTGACAAGACAAGAGCGACAAGAAAACAGCGGAGAAGTAACGGCCAGAAACCCTCCTTTTTACGCAGCGGTCCAGACATAGACATCAAACGGCGACACATATTCAGTTGCCAGTTACTTTGGCATTAGGGCAGGGGTATTTAGATACTTCCCAAGGTCTGACATCATGAATTGTGCTACTTTTAAAGCAAGCAACGATGTTTTCAAATCTGTAATCAAAAAGCTCCGCCTTCCTGCCGTTGCGTTGCTCCGTTTTTTTTTCAAACGGTAACAACGGACTATTTTCCTTAGCGGATGCATGTCAATTTAAATCAATACATACAACTATTTTTTAAATCAATAAAATCATTTTCTAAATCCATAAAAGCATTTCAATTAATAGTGGGAGTCATATCATTACTTTGTTGAGAATGTGGCCGTGTGATAAGCGGGTAATGTGCAGCGACTTGGTCATTATGAAGAACACCTTCAGGCTCCTGATCTGCCTGTCGGTGTTCTTTTACCCATAATGACCGCGTCGCTGCACATTATCCCTTACATATTTGTATTTACTTGCACTATTGTATCTGTGTTATTGTGTTGCTCTGTTGGAGGAGCCTGGGACCTCAGATCTTCATTGTCATAACTACACTGTAGCTCTGTACAAATGACACTAAAGGCCGCTACACACCAACCTGAGACCAAAGAACGCGTACCGAAGGCGTCCCGACTTTTACGCCTGCGTCGGCTACGCCGCCCGCCTACGAACACACCGCAAAGACTTCAGTCGACGAGTGGCAATACCTCTCCTTACCAGCAGGCAGCAGTAGTGTGTATTCGTCATTCAAAAGAGGCAACAACCGGAAGACAGACTGTACACCGAGAGAAGAAGAACAGGCTGCGTGATATAAACAAACAACAAATAGCGTCTGGGTTCCATTTTCACTCTCTCTCGTCGATCGAAAACATGTAAACATAAAAAAGAAACTCTTGCGTCCGGGTGAGATGAAAAGGAAAAACATTAATCGTCTGTGTTTGCCTTCTTAATCGTTTGTTTTGGTCCCTCACTTCCGCTTCGCTTCTCGCTAAGCTGAACAGCCAATCAGAGTGATTTCTTTGTCCCGACTTTCTTTGGCCTCTGACGGCCTCTGACGGCCTCTGACGGCCTCTGACTGCCTCTGACTGCCTCTGACTGCCTCTGACTGCCTCTGACTGCCTCTGACTGCCTCTGACGGCCTCTGACGGCCTCTGACTGCCTCTGACTGCCTCTGACTGCCTCTGACTGCCTCTGACTGCCTCTGACTGCCTCTGACGGCCTCTGACGGCCTCTGACTGCCTCTGACTGCCTCTGACTGCCTCTGACTGCCTCTGACTGCCTCTGACTGCCTCTGACTGCCTCTGACGGCCTCTGACTGCCTCTGACGGCCTCTGACTGCCTCTGACGGCCTCTGACTGCCTCTGACTGCCTCTGACGGCCTCTGACGGCCTCTGACTGCCTCTGACTGCCTCTGACGGCCTCTGACTGCCTCTGACTGCCTCTGACGGCCTCTGACTGCCTCTGACGGCCTCTGACGGCCTCTGACTGCCTCTGACTGCCTCTGACGGCCTCTGACTGCCTCTGACTGCCTCTGACGGCCTCTGACTGCCTCTGACGGCCTCTGACGGCCTCTGACTGCCTCTGACTGCCTCTGACTGCCTCTGACTGCCTCTGACTGCCTCTGACGGCCTCTGACTGCCTCTGACTGCCTCTGACTGCCTCTGACGGCCTCTGACGGCCTCTGACGGCCTCTGACTGCCTCTGACGGCCTCTGACTGCCTCTGACTGCCTCTGACTGCCTCTGACGGCCTCTGACGGCCTCTGACTGCCTCTGACTGCCTCTGGCGGCCTCTGGCGGCCTCTGGCGGCCTCTGACGGCCTCTGGCGGCCTCTGGCGGCCTCCGACGGCCTCCGACGGCCTCCGACTGCCTCCGGCGGCCTCCGGCGGCCTCCGGCGGCCTCCGACGGCCTCCGACGGCCTCCGACTGCCTCCGACTGCCTCCGACGGCCTCCGACGGCCTCTGACGGCCTCCGACTGCCTCTGACTGCCTCTGACGGCCTCCGACGGCCTCCGACGGCCTCCGACGGCCTCCGACGGCCTCCGGCGGCCTCCGACGGACTCCGACGGCCTCTGACGGCCTCTGACTCCCAAAATCGGGTTGGTGTGTAGCGGCCTTAAAAGCCTTGAATCTTGAATCCTTTGTTTGATTGTGTGCAGGCGGTTGAGAACTTCATCTACTCGTGCGCCGGCTGCTGCGTGGCGACCTACATCCTGGGTATCTGCGACCGGCACAACGACAACATCATGCTGAAGAGCAGCGGCCACATGTTCCACATCGACTTCGGGAAGTTCCTGGGACACGCGCAGATGTTCGGGAACATCAAACGGTCAGACCTTTATCATTTCTTCACCAGCAGAGGTTTACCTTGTTTTATCAGAGGTAATCCTCAGAGGAGGTGATGGGATGGTTTTACAGCATCTTCTGTTAGTGACTGCAGGAGGATATATGACCGTAAAATCAGAATTTTGAGCAAAAAGTCTGATTTATTTAAAAAAAAATCTTGAGAGAAAAAAGTGAGATTTTGAGAAAAAGTCAGAACTTTGACATTTTACGGAAAAGTCTAAATTTTTAGGAAAAAGTCTGTTTTTTTAGGAAAAAGTCTGTTTTTTTTGGAAAAAATCAGATTTCTGTGGAAAAAAGTCTGATTTTTGGGGGGAAAAGTTTGATATTTTGGGAAAAAAATCTGAATTTTTTGAAAACAGGCTTATGAGAAAAAAAGTCTGAATTTTCAGAATGTTGGGATTTTTCGAAAGTCTGAATTTTTAGGAAAAAGTCTGAATTTTTAGGAAAAAAAAATAGAAAACAGTCTTATGAGAAAAAAGTCCACATTTATAGAAAAAGTTTGAATTATGAGAAAAAGTCTTAATTTTGAGCAAAAAGTCTTACGGAGCGTCCACACAGCAGCGTTAAAAAAATCTTGGAGGTGGGCGTATCTGAAGCTTGGGGATTTTTTGCGAGCAAGGCACCAACAACCAATCACATGAATCTCCCGCCCCCGACATACGAAGCAAAAAAGCCCGAAGTAAACTGGATATAAACTCCCCAAACAGGCGAAAACCTACCACTGTCTCTGCCACCTCCCTCCATGCCTGGCTCCTCAGGTTTATATCCCGGTAGGTAAATAGGGACTGGTCATAAAGCACCGGGTGATTCCCTACCGCTCATTTCTCCTCCATGTTTTGGAATATGAGGAAATGACCTGCGGTATGTCTCTCCCAGCATACACGCCGTTTGATTGGCTAGCGCTTGAACTGTCAGATTTGCGTACACAGGATTTGATTGGCTGACGCTTCCACCTCAGCTTCAAAAGTTGAACATTGTTCAACTTTGAATCCTGAAAATCCTGAAAATCTCCGCTCTGCTTCCCACAATGCAGTTCGGCGAAAAGTGAGGCAAATGACGTCACCCCATTCAAAGTGAATGGGCAGAAGCGTTTCAAGATTTTTTAACACTGCTGTGTGGACGGGCCGTTAGA